AATGCTGTCTCCATTCCTTTAAAATGTGTCCTAGGTGCTGGCTAGCTAGCTCAGTTGGTTAGAGCACAGCCTTTTAACACCATGGTCAAGGGTTCAGATCCCTGTACTGGCCAGCCATCAAATGAAATAAAACGCTTCCTAGGAAATGAAACCTAGGATTTTAAGAGGTTTACAACCTAGATGAAAGGGCAAAACTTACACAAATGAAACACTGAAACAAGAACTGCTCTATAGCTAACAGACTGAAGACTATATACAGAAAAGGAGATGAAGGAAGAAATGGGTGGGGTGAAGGTCAGGCAAGCAACTTCCCTAAAGGTAACCAACTAACTGCCAAGAGAAGGCTATCAAAGCCAGCGCAGGAGTCCCGGCGTCGTTACTGTGCGTCTTCTCTAACCACTTCCTCCTCTCACCCACAGCTCCTCAGCCCCCTAAAAGGGCTTATTTCCTGTTTACCCCACTCCCTCATTCATGCCTAGTCACTCAGCATTCACCAAGAGCCTCCTGGGGTGAGTAAGGTCTTGCCTCCACCCGTCAAACTCTGGCGTGGGGAAAGGGACTGATCCATAAACACGCCATTACATCACAGGGGGTAGAGGCAAGGAGAGGATGGGACAGAGCGCTGTGGGCACCATCACCTGCCTGGGAGCAAGAGTGTCCCTGAGAGGACTCCGGAGCTGGAGGCGGCCAGGCGGAGACACGGCGCATGTAAAAGCTGCGAGGGAAGGAGCCAGGAGAGGGACTCGGGGACACACAGACTGGGGTCAGGGCCGGCAGCCTGGTGGGCAGAGCTCTGCGCTCAGGGTGAAAGGTCAGGGAGCGCCCACAGACCGCCGTCTAGCATGCGCCTCCGGGGACGGGGGCGTGGGGTTTCCTGTGGTTATGACGCTGTGGAGAGTGCCACTCACAGGACAGCCCTGCAGAGCGGTCCCTGCTTCCTCCAGCCTTTCCTCCTGGGGACACCTCCACCTCCACTTGTTCCCCTTACCCTCGGAGGCTAACAAGCGTGGGACGAAGAGCAGGCCTTTAACTCGAATTTGCTGGCTGGTTATAGGGGCAGTGGTGACAAATTTTCACACGTGTCAATGCCAAGCTCTTGTAGAAGTCCTCCGCATGTGGCGGCTGCTGCAGATGAAAGACCACAGAGACGCAGCAGGGTGGTGGGGGGAAAAAAGACAAATTCAAAATGAGAACTCCACAAAATAAGAGAAGTGTGCCCCTGGGGAATAACGTCAGCCGTCACCTTGCCCCGCTGCGGGCTGGGCTCCGTCCCGCGTGGGGTGGAGCAGACCCCGGGGCGGCCGCAGGAAGAAGGACGCCGCGGACGGCAGAGGGCGCCCCTACTCCAACTGCGCCCGGGTCCCCACCACCGCGCCAGGATCCGAGTCACGGAAAAGGAAGGTAAAGCGGTAAAGCAGCAAAGCAGCACGTTGATGAGAACGCCAGAACCCAGCCACACTCAATTGGCAGGTGCCGTAATCCTCCGGGTAAAGCTGCCCTCTCTGGTCAAGAAATAAGTAAAGGCTCTTAATCGTGCTTAGAACCAACCCGCCCTAAACGCCAAGT